GAGTACTCAGTATGACATGAATTTAAAATAGTTAATCTTAAAACCAGAATACAGGATTGTGAATATTGTATCTTATGGTGAAAAATGAATTCTCCACTTGCGCTTAAAAGCATGTGGTAGAAACAGTAAGGAGTACATTTAATTTAATTTTTCTAGCAAAGAATTGATAGAAATTTCCTTTCAGAATTAATACTTTTATATAACTGTATGTACTAAAAATGTATGCACTATACTAAATTTAATAATGAATACTAAAATTACAGTCTCATTTATGTTATATTTATATTAAATGCACTACTAAAAAAGTATTCAGATTTTTAAATGAAAGACATTATTTATTTTCCAATTCCATTATGCTACTCTATTTTATAAAATAGGGTGTATTAGTCATGATAAATAAAGATATATTTTAAATGATAAATATAACATCAATATTTTGTTCAGAAAGCTAATATATAACTACTGGCCACCACTATAATATATACGAACAACAACCTTACGTACATAATAACTAGGGCTGTGAATTTAATGCACTAAAGAATCTTAAAAAATGCATTAAAAATGCCAAAAAAATGCAATAAAATATTCACTAAAATTGCAAAAAAATGTAATTTAAAATGTCAAAAATTATAGTATAAGATTCATTCAAAATGGTTTTTAATTTAATTTTTATATTTATATTAATATTAGGTACAGGATATTATACGTTAGTTCATTACATGCATATAAAGTATTTATTTAATAAAAAATAATAATTATAAAAATGTTGATTAATATTTTGTATACTTAATGCTATTCATGTGAAACATTTTTTAAAATTTTTTAGGATTTATTTTGTTAAAAGAATAAAACAAACTTAAATATATTTATTTTCGGATATCTTATTCATTTTTAGTCTTTAGAGTTTGATTAAAAATACCGGAAAATGAACGTAAAAAAGAAAAATAAGACCTAAAAATGACCTAAAAACTGTCAAAAAGTGCGAAAAAATTCAAAATTTTGCATAAATGGATTCGTAGTTACATGATTAAAATTATGTAGCACTCCTAAAAATTCAAAGCCTTAGTAATAACATATAAACTATTTAGGCAATCACTATACTTATTTGTACAGTGTCTGTCATGACAAAGGAATCATTTTTCTACGCACCTCAAAAAGAAATGCATTAAAATAAGACTTTTGTGAACAATATGGGTAGATAATTATAAAATATATAGTTATAATATATAAAATTACATTATAAATAATTTAATATTAAATAAGTTTATAATAAAATATGTATAAACAAGAGTTCACAGGTATTATAAATATTAATCTTTTTCATTAAGTTGCATAATGTTTAATATAATAATTCTACTATGATTCTGTATCGAAAATAACCTATTAATGATAAAACAGTTTTATCCTAGACACAAGTTACTATATGTTTAATATTTATCAGTCATCGTCGATTTTACATGCCTTGAAAAATAATAATAAATTGATAATACCATGAATTTTTTTTTTACTTTTCAGACTTTAATAGATGTTTTTTGAAGTTACGACAGTGGTTTTATTTCCAAAACATTATAATTAAAGGATTCTTTTTTTTTAATTTCTATTATAAATATAAAAAATAAAATCTGTATATGCAAATATTTTACAATAAGGTTATGCATTATGCATGATGAATGAATAATAATTTACAAAACTTATTTTGCGTGACGAAGAACGCCATCCATTGGCGGAACTTTATGTTACTACACCAAGAGGTCGTTACACTATTTTTGTTTTAGGCAACAGGGAAAAATAATCTCCTTGTAGAAGTAGTTTTCGTAAAATTGTAGTCACAAAAAATGAAAAAGAAACATTCAACGAAATATCATTTGTTTAAAATGGTCACTGTTTCATATACATATTTTTTTAACTAAATCGTATCATATGACAAAAATGTAATTATATATTTATGGTTGTTTCAGATCACTCAATTGTGAGGAATCGTTACCGCAGCGAAATACGTAGTTGACCCTGGCTGCTATTAGAGTATCTAGCTTACACAAATGCCCATACAAAAATTATTTTGTAAACTGTATATTATATACACATAAAAAACTAACTTTGAATTGAATATTATTTAAAATCAAATGTAAATTAAGTAGGTACTTGCGTGAAACACTTAAATTTACCTTTTTCATGCGATGCAAATTACTGACGCACATTCAAATGCATATGCATTATGTACAAAAATAAATGTATGCTTTTAATAGAACCATTTATATATGTAACATGCAGTATGGGTTTAACCTTAAGGGATTATTTAGAACCCCTTCTGCCCTTTTTCTATATAAAGAGTTATTTATTTATAATTTATTCAATAACTATTGTTCGACTATTGCGTCAAAGAATTTATAAAAAAAATTAAAAAAAAATACATTAATTTATAAATTAAATAAAAGAGTTTCCCTTAAAAATTTCCATTAAAAATGTTGGATTTGTCTATAGTAAATTTAGGTTTATTGAATTAGTACTAGGTAAACTACATTAGATATTTAACTAAATATTTTTAATAAAATGTCTGATTTACTTTTCATTTTTTAGCCTATGTTTATAAATTTCTTGTGCCGGATAGTGAATAACTATTTGATAATCATTGGGTTTGCTGTTAAAAAATAGCCTTATATATAGAGATCATCAAAATAAATTATGCTAATATTGGGTTATATGCTTAAGACATGTGTAAGTATTAATATTTAAAGAAAGACTACAAAGATGTTAGAAAAGTTTATCGATGGGAAAAAAATAATTTTCCTTATAAAAAAATAATTTATTTGCGCTTGTAAATTTGAGTAAAATAGGTTTAAATGGTTTATAGACTATGAAAAAAATTAAAATAATATAATTTGCCTTAATCCTTCAATAACTATTCAATAAATTACAAGGATTATTATACATTAGTAATTTAAAACTAACTACTGCCGGTTTTCTATCCTAGATTAATGAAGAATTAAAAGGAGATTAAAAAAAAAAAATAATAATAATAAAATTAGTAGTGTAGTACTGCTTATACCATGATTAACGGTGTAAGGAGTAGTTGCGCATCATCTGCTAACGTAGTATTACGAAAATCTCATCAACATTGTTTTTATAGTACAAAATTATCTCAAAATTGATGATACTCAAAAACACACTATCACTAGTCAATACTACAATTTTTTGTTGGATCACTTATAGTTAATGTTCGTGTATAATTGGTAGATTATAAAATTATTTATTATATGGTATTTATGACCATTCGTCATGAACGCGTAATAATTTTGTACATGAGTATCAGATTTTATGAAATTTTTAGTATGTATTGAATGTACTCCTAAAACTTCATTTAGGTCAAATGGAATGTAATTTATCTTGTCAAAAATGTTGTTTTAAATATGTTTTCAGATGGCGCATTGAGAAAAAAAAACATTACGTTTTTTACATAAACGTTTGCTATCTATAATTAATATATTTTTTACTTTGAAATGAATATCTTAAAATAATATAATGAAAATTTCAATTGTAATTGTCAACAATTTAATGTTTTGGCATATTACGCATATTAATATTACTACTACTACTGTTATTACTAAATAGTAATCATTTGGAAGCATAATACGTTAAACACTAAACTTTCGTTCGTTATTTGAAACAGAATTTATATTTTGTTACCTATATAATTTTCAAACCGTATTAACAAGTACAATTGCAAAATATTATAATTGTGTTTAACTTATTTTCGCTCCGCCGACCGAAATCAAAACAGAAATTTTATTCGTTTTTCAATGGTCAAAATCAATAATTCGGAAAAATTATTTTCTAAAACAATTTAACGATTAGAAAAACTCGTTAAACCAACTCGAAGCGTTACACAATGTTTTCAATGTTGTAATCGTATAGATCAGTGTGTGCCAGATCGATTTCAGTACTTGACATAAAAAAGTTCTGTTCTTCAAGAATTCGACTACACCATGTCCAATAGGAAATGCACGATCGAACTAAAATTTGATTAAAGACGTCACAAGCTACACGTACACGTGTTGCGTTACGTTGTCGCAATATGATATTGGAACGTAAGCCGACGGAGCGGTTAATTCAACACCAGTTGTTTTAAAATGCGTTCATCACGGTGATATTTGACCGAAAACATCGGAGCGGGCGCAGCGGATTCGGACGTACACTTCGGGAAATCGCTGGTTCAACATATAATGCGCGGTTCGTGCGCGGTTTTGATTCGCAAGCCGGCAACCAAAACTGGTATCGCACGTACACAGTTCGTGTAAGTTTCGAACGCGGTGCAAATTTACACGGATGTGCGTATTGACGTGCCGTGGTTAAATACCCGACGGGTAGGTAAATATTTTGGCTATTTACCCACTATAATATTTACCTACCAAAAATTTGGGTAAATATTTTTTTTTTTTACTGTCCAAACGTAATCATTTTTATTAAAAAAATTTAATTTTAAAATCTGAAGCGTTTTGGTTAGTTTTTAAATTCTTAGATTTATTTGTTTCCCCGTTAAAAGTGGTATTGGTTTCAAAGTGAATGAAATTAACAAAAACTTCATGAATATAATTTATCTACTCTTATCATCAGTCTTGGAAAAACATGAAAAGTCAGGAAACAATCATAAAAAAGTATTGTGATATCCATGTGATTGGGTTTAGCATTAAAAATAAATTTACCCAATTTATCGGGTAAATACCGGGTATTCACCTGAAATTATATTTACCGGGTATTTGGCCATCACTAGGTGTGCGCCACGACCGGTGGGCCGATCTAATAACGCGGGTAAACGTGTAACAATTAAAAGAGTTAATTTTTATCGCGGAGTCGATTTCCACACAGGAGTGGACCTACGGTCGCGTTACGACGCGCGTTCCGATGGGTAGAGCGCAGATCCCCGTCCGGGGGGTGGGGGGAGGGGTCCACCGGTATCGGCGAGCGCGCGCGAGTGTTTCGCTGCAAACGAGATTTCATTGCAATCCAAACGGTCGTGCGCGTAACACGTGTTATACTGCGCTCGGCCCGCAAGCATTGCGGTTCTGTGTTTCGTGTCTACAACAGTTAAGCGCATTCGGCTGCGTGGCGGATTCGCGACTGAACAGAAGTGAGTAAACGCAAGCTTGTACGGTTTTTGTTTTTGTCACATTTACCCCCCCCCCCCCCCCCCCCACCAACCCACGCTTTTGACGGGAGGGCGATGAAAAACCTACACGTCTCGTTATTTCGAAATGAACTTGCAGTTCGATGGAATACTAGTAACAGAGTCGTAATATAGTGCATAGCGCGCAACGGTGCAATTTTCGACAGTATATTTATAATTTTTATCAGAACACGTCTGAGATTAAAAAATGAGTTCAATTCATATTTGGACTAGAAAAATAAAATATGTTATTATATCACGCGAAATCGACGGAGTCGGTGATTTAAAGTCGAAATGCCTCCAGTACACTTCGTTCCGCATAACAAAGTTGATTTCGGTTTTAAGTATAGCCAGATAATTGTAATTTGAGATGTAATAATATTATGTACACTTATCATTATTTAGTATGTCAGTTTGAATGCGCTAGTAATTCAAATAATTATACATATTCGTATGACAATGGACAGTTTCTATAAATATTATAATTCTTTAAATATACACGATATTTTGTATTTTCCTTATTTTAGCGGAGGCTATTATGAAATAATATCATGAATTATGAATATTTTGATCCATTGTCTAACGGTTGTACTTGTATTAAGCAATTGTAATTTCTATTTTATTTAATTCTATACTATTTCGTGTTTTCAGAATAAAGCATTATAATAATGCTTAAATGCATTGACAATACAACAGAGTTTTATAAAGTATGTTTTTATTAATATAAGGTATTTTTTGGGAAAATTCTTCTTATTCTAGTCTTTGCTAAGCTATAGATATATTGTACACAAAATAAAAAAAATGCTTTTGAACAGCAACAAGTCCAAATTCGATAATACACTTTTGTTGTTTGTCCGTTATATGCATATAATATAATATTTCAGATATACATAATTTATTGTCGAAATAGAGATATGGAATTCATTTAGTTTTTTTATTATTTCCCGTCATAATGTAATTTATACGATACCGTATATGATTCATCGTTCAATGTAGTGTACATTTATTCCAAAAATTGTACACATATTCTATGGGTTTTGAGTAAACGTTTAAATTTTGTCGCATCAAACTAAAATAAATTAATGATATTTATTTTACGAATATAATTTTCCTTCTATAAATATATATTATTTAATCCTACAGTATGGGCCATTTTCGGAAAAATTCGGAAGGATTACTTTAGTGTTTTGTGTCCCGAGTTAGTTCATTCCCAGAGGTTTAATAAAATCATTTTTAAACACCTATTTTCAGTTGAACTAATTAAAACAGGACAGTTAACAATAATAAACAGTAAACACTGTATAACTCTCGTTTCTTAAGGTACAGGTAATTATATAGTATACCTACCTTTCGTTAGCATAAAATAAATAATTCTTGCTCATTTAATACGTTAAGGTTTGAATTAACTATACATGAGTCATTAATAGTGTTTGATTCGTTAACAATGGGAGTATTATATATACATAAAACAATTTAATACATTATTGGTGATTAACATAGTTAACCGAAGTGATTATTCAAAAGAATTTCAAACATAAATAATGAATATGTACAATATTGTACATTGTACATAGTCAATGAAAAATTGTTATTACGAAATTTTGACTTCTTTGTTTTCATTTGCAATAATACATTTAAATATGAACTCTAATCTCGTAGCAAACATACGATTAGATGTTTCTATTTAACTTTAATTAAAAATATTAACTATTTAACTTTTTTAGCAAGTTGCTATTGTTTCATTTTATTAGAAATCAAAATGAAAAGGTGAATTGAGACAAAACACAACAAAATTGTCCAACGATATAGTTTAAAAAAAATAGGTTAATGCTACGAAACACAAGTATTGATGAAAAATATATATAATTTTATATTCATATAAGCAGGAATTTTGGTTAAATTTGTTCATCGAAATATCCTACATAATCTATATATACTATTATGTCATGATTACGATCTGTCCGAAGCCAATCAATAGTTTTGCTCTTCCTGTTCATTGTTATTTATCAATTATCATTTTGCCATTAATGTGATACCCTTTTTTTAATTCTATTATGTATAGTTCTGTAATAGGATCTTTGTGATTATTTAATTATTCATTGCAATATAGTTGTTATGTCTTAAAGCATTAAACACCTGACAAATGATTCACATGATAGATGCGGTTAGATTGTAAAGTGATTAGGAATAATAACTATAAGTAAAATAATGTTTCGCTTGAGGAAATTCCTCTCCCTTGAATAATCGTGACTTTATGTTTTCACGTAGTACATAGCAGAGTAGAAGAACAATAATTCTATAATTAAAGATACACACATAGTAAACTGCTAAGTTCATCTTATATAATTTAATAAAAAAAGTGACGTTAGTACTAAAAATATATGAAATGCATAATTCTTTACTGATAAAAATACACAAGAGTCTGCGATAAAAAGTAATACTTATGTAAACAATCAATAACTTCAAATTCCGATTAAATTAGATATAATGTATTTATATTAAATATATATGGTGCAATAAAAATAAAAATATTTGCACATAATGAAGTTGTACTACTATTTTTTATCTATAATATTTAGATGATTTTTGTTTGGTGATAGACTATAGTTTTATTTTTGTATTTTGTACTTATAATTAGTACAAAAATCATTGCTATTCGTAAACCAAAAAAAAAAAAAAAAAAAAACAATAAAAATGTTTAAAACTTATACTTACATCATATTTATAATTCCTTTACATATAATACTTTATGAACTAAATTCCATGTCAAAACATTTAATTTCATTGCATCATTGTAGTTAATTATTATTGTCCGTATTTGAATATAGATATATTTAATATTGTACGAAATAGGACTTGCAAGCAATTTCTTTATCTCTCATTTTGCACATACTGGTCAATTTAATTAGAAAGTATTTTATAATACGAAACAATGTATGAGTTACAAGATTTATAAACCATAATTTTTATTCCCATACTAAGAAAACCACATATTTGGCATTTTGTGACCATATATATAAATAAATATGAACGATTTAGTACTGCTATGTACTATCGATTTCTATATTTTTTAAACTAAATCGGGTTGTTATTGAATTTAATTAATCATAACCACGTGAGCTGGTTGATTACTATAACTATATTGCTGATAAAAACGAAATATCACAACATCGTAGTGATTTGCGTGCACTTTATTAGGATCAATTTACAGCTCGTATAAATTGCGGTTGGTAAGTGATATTATTTAAATCGTTTGATGCGGGAGGATAGAAACAAATTAATTTCCTGTACTTTTAGTAGGACGAAATATTCCATAGGTAGGTACCCTCATTGCCATTAAATAATGACAATCAATCGAACACTTTGTTACTAAATATACAAGTACGAGTATGTATTATAATTGTTTTCGTAATACATGCAAATATCTATCGCTTTAACCTTTGTTGGTTATATTTTTTTAAAATAATACAACATACCTTGAATCATAGAAATAGACATATTTTTAACATTGTTGTAATTGACTGTTGATTTTAAATACAATTAAAATACCCAGGTACGTATTACGTATAGAAAACTTTGATAATAGATATTATTTACAATCATTTTGAAAAAGAAACAGGTTTTTATTATTCTAGACTTATTTATCTTTCATATACTTCAGAGAACTATTACTATTTATTGTATACTATTATACTTATTATTTCTAAAATGCGAAAAATTTTTGATGCTCAACATAAGGAATTACTATATGTCCATTATACAAGTGTGTTAAACAGACCGTAATTAATTGAAGACAAAAAAGAAAATAGATAATATAATATTAAGTATAATGTGCATTACACAGTGTACAGATATTAATGTTGTATTTTATTTCACAAAAAAAAATCTGAATTATACAGTTTTATTTGAAATCATTGAATTATATTTTTACATAGGTACTGGTTTAAATTTTTTAATAAATTATATTTCTTTTAGCATATTTTTTTTAGATAAAATAAATATTTATACTTAATAATAATTGTTTAGAATATCTGCTCAAAATAATTAGTTGGTAATTCCTATTTTTTTCAATAATAATTTAATTTTTAGGGATCCGGATTTTATTGTTTCAATCATTAATACTCGATTAAGAGTTTTCAATGGTTCTTTAAGGACAGACAGAAATAATGGTCAGGCGGCTACTAAATTAATGTTTCCTATGCTATACGGAGTAAATAAAACACTACTCTAATTGGTGTCAAGAGCTGAAAACGACATGTACTTTTTTATTTCATAGTTTAATTCAGTACATGAAGTTTGTTCAAAACATTAAATTGTGGACGTTATATAGTGAAAAAAAGGTTTTTGCCTAATTGTCTATGGGAATAAATTGGAATTCACTTTATAGGGGCGGAGTTATCTTCAATAAAGAGACGCCAATTTTCGGGTTTCTCAGTCTGACCCGTTCTATTATGCTTTTGCTCTTTCAATAAGAATTGTAAATAAACATTGTATTTATATTTTGTGTGTAGATAGTAGATAAGTGATGAAATGTTGGTGCACAGAATGGATTAAATGAAATAAATAAAAAAAAAAATAAAATATCACGACAGTTATATAATATATTTCACGCGAAACATTCGGCGATATTGTATATTATATTTTATAAAATAAAATTGAAAGCAAATGTGCACCATAACAATTGATTGTATTTTATAGATGTTACCGGATATAGATAAAAATAAGCCTGAAAAACAACCAATAGTAAAAATGGCTGGTTATTTGGAAAAAAAAGGTAGAATGGTTAGTATAAAATTAATTATTATTGTGTTAAAATATTAAAAAATGCATTTATTTATATATTTACGAATATATGAAATTGATTAAATTATAAAAAAAAATTTTTATCTTTTTTTTTTTGTTATTATTTTTTAAATTTATTATTTTATTATATTTTATATTATGCCTGTATTAATTTTACAGAGAGTAGTTGGCGTTCGTCGTTGGAAAAAAAGATGGTGTGTACTTGAAGGAAAACTGTTGCTGTACTTTAAGACTCAATTAGAGTACTCTCATCATTTGTCACCTTGCAGCGGTTCAGTCAATATGGGACTTGTATTGTCTATAACACCAAGGGGTCCGTGTCAACTTCAAATTGTCACTAGATCTCAAATTATAATCTTTGTAAGTTTTTTTTATCTCAATCTATATGATATTATTAAAGCGTAGTATTCTTCGTCAGATAAAATTCCTAAAAACAACATTACGATTTGATACAACATAACAAAAATATTTATTTATAGTTCATTTTGATTTTGAATAAAGTGTACACAAATAAAAGAATTATTATTTTTAATGATTATAATTAAAACAAAAAAGTATATAAAATACAACATTGATATGATTGTTATGCTTGCTTTTATTATAACGGTTGTAAAATTGTAACTTTATACCTACTATTATATCAATGTGAGTTAATAGTTTCTATACATTTCAATTTTTTATAAAGAACTATTTGTTTGTATTTCATAAAAATTGATTATTTGTTTTTTATTTAAATATTCTAATGATATGAATTAAAAATTACTATCAATAATTATAGAACTGTTAAAATTTAAGCAAAATGTGTTAAGGTAAAGAAATTTTACGGAAACTTTATGTCATCATTTATAATATAATAGGTACCTGAAATGTTAAATATTTTTTGTATTTTTCCATTGTGTTTCTTAAGAATAAAAATTATAGGAGGAAAAAACACTTATCTTGAACAAGAAATTAAAAAAAAAAACGGTAACCGTTATTATTTTGATTTATAAATGAAATATGAAAGTTTAAATTACATTTAATGAAAAATTTATCGAGCAATTACAACTTAAAATTGTTTTTCTAATTATTTATTATAACATACATTAATTATGATTTAACAACTGTAAAAATGTATATGTATAAATAATTTCTATAACTTTAAAATATAGTGATTTAAATCTTAATTATTTAATATAATTTGGATGTTAATATACATGGATGTATAATATACCTATTTTGATATCTATTTAGAATTGGCCAATTAAATGTACAATTATACGGTATACGTTTTTTTTGAAAACTTAATGTTTTTTTTAATTTAATTTTAACCGATTCTCATTATTCTTAACAATGTTATCATTCAAATAAACAATCAAAAAAATAAATTTTATAAAGCATAACAATATTATTAATAGCTCTAAAGCTTAAATGTCGTGAAAGATAATAAGCACACACTGAAAACAAATTATTGTGAAATAAAATATAGGCTATATATTACATTAATGTGATGATGTTGAAGCGTAAAATTAAGCGTATTCAGCAATATGGGATAAAATGTACTTAGATAAAGAGAATGAGTAGCTATTACATTTTATTAATATTTTCTATAAATTAATCTAACTGGGTTATTTTGATGCTTAAAACCGTTGATTTTGCTGTACATTTTCTAGAGAACGAAATCGAAATCAGAACAAGATGAATGGTTTGTTGCTTTGCGTGATGCTAAAAATAACAATCAGAGTTATACTAAACCTAAAGATAAAAAGTCATCCATTATGGAACTACACCGTCGGATGTCTAACCGGATATCCATGGAGGTCAATAATTTTAATTACCATATCATTAACGAAAATCACTTGCGGTATGGTAGATCGTTACGAGATTCGTTTGATGACATATTCTTCGAAGTGGGCAAGAAAAACGGTCTTCATATTATGTCGAACAGGAGATCATCCGCTTTGCGAAAATCCGAATCTGACAATCGAATCAGTTTTTATAAAGAGATGCATGGCCTCGTACGAACTAACACTATAACGGTGGCATCTCCTGTGATCAGCGAAAAGGAGTCTTGTCGTTCTAGAAGTTTGTCATACGAAAGCATTTACTTTAAGCCACAGGAAAAATATACGTCGATTGAACCCGCGAAATCACAAAGCTGTAGAGAACTTATGCCGAATGTCGTGCATCGAGTATCTAAGAAATGCATGAACAATAGTGTATCGAAAAGAATGAGTAGGTCGGTATCGTTCTTCCAAAAACGTTGTGAAGATTCCGATTCAGACGACTATGATTACATCGAAATAGATGGTATCAAGCAAAAATATTCGAAACGTAAGTATTTATACATCCTTCTAATATTATAACATACCAAGGCCGTATCTAGAAATTTTTTTCGGGAGGGGTCCAAAATATGTTTATTGTAATTTTATTGAATTAATATTTTAACTTTTGATATTTGGTTAAAAATAAGACAGAAAAATATTTAATCTTCTTTTGTTAAAATTAATATATTTTCATATAATATTATGATATAAAATTAAAAGCAGTCAATGATTAATTGGAGCTTAAGTCATTTTTGAGTGAAAATATTTATGTTTTTATTAAAAATAAATAAGTATTTTAAACATTCGTAAAATATTGAAGAAATTTCGGCGGGGGGAAGGGGTACAGATACCCTGGACTCCCCCAGATACGGCCTTGTAACATACTATATTAGGTTATGGAATAAAATGGTTATTTCTAACGACTAACATAACGGCGTTATGTAAAATTTAGATGTTAAACGTAATTTTCAACAAATTTTAATTTTTAATTTTTTTATTTTTAAATATCTATTATAATTGATACTGTTATGGACTTCTGCACAAACTAAAAACAAACTTTCCAACCCCATATTATTTAATACTCAAATCTTATCTCAGTCAGCGTTCGTTCCAAGTAAATTTAAACAACTCAATTTCAAACCAATTTATAATTAACGCCGGTGTACCCCAAGGAAGCGACGTTTCTCCACTTTTATATCTAATATACACTGCAGATATACCTACGTCCTCTTTTACCATCCTCAACACTTTTGCCGATGATACTTGTATCTTAGCCTCCGATTCCGATCCCACAATAACAAGCTTCAAACTTCAACACCACCTCAACTTACTTGAAAATTGGTCCACACTATGGAAAATAAAAATTAATACAACCAAATCTAGCCACATTACTTTCTCCCTTCGCTCAAATAACTCAAATAATGTCCACCAGTCAAACTCTACAATCAATCATTACCTCAAACCAACCAAGTTAAATACTTAGGGCTCATTTTCGACAGACGATTAACTTGGAAAGATCACATATTCGACAAAAGAAAAAAAACTTAACTCCAGATTACATTTACTACGTCCTCTCTTACGATAAAAACTAAACTTAAAACCCAATATTCTTATTTACAAAATGTTAATCTTTCCCCTTTGGTATTATGGTATACAAATTTGGAGTAATGCCGCTCCAAGTAGCATACAAAAAAATGCAGTCATTCCAATCCGTCTGCCTTCGCACTATCACAAAATTCCCCTGGTTTGTTAGTAACAAAACCCTACACTCAGACCTGAAAATAAATTACGTAAACCAAGTCAAGAAAATCGCTTACCAAAAACTTCACAAAAAATTTAGCTCCCATATTAACCTCAACATTAGCTTCCTTGCTACACAACACATCCCGGACAACCTCCCACGTAGACTCAAACGTAAATGGGTTAGAGACCTCCTCCATTAATTCAAGTAGGTAGCTCCATTGGGAGCCCTCCTACATCGTGCTATTTTTCATGTTATGTAATCCTCCGCATCACTCATACTTGTTGTGCTTAATTGTATAGTTGTATATTTCATATTTAAATAAAAAAAAAAAAAAAATTGATACTGTTACACTATAACAGAAAATATCATGTGTAGTAACGCATAAATATATATATATATATATATATATATATATGTATATTTATTTTTTTATAGCTGTATTTAAATTAATTGTTCAAGGATATTATGTAGCATGAATAGTTTATGTTAATGTGGTTATGATAGTATAATAATATAATATAATATATAAATTGATAAATTTTTATAATCAATAACCACAAATATATACATTTGTACTAAAATATTTAGAATTATTAATGACGTTATCTTAAATGGAAGTGATTTTATGTATTCTAAAACCATATACAGATAAAAATTCAAGTACATTTAATAGAGGAAAGTAATAATACTTTGGCAAATTGCCAATTTAAATTTTTTGTATTGTTTTAAACATTCGAGAAAATCTTACTTTCTACTATCTATGAGTATATATTAAACATTTTAAAGTCAAAGGTTTTTAAATCTTATAAATATGATATTTACTAACTTGCGTATACATTTCATAACACTGTTGACACTTTTCTATCGTTTTCTGGTTTGATATTAGTATATTCATATTATATATTTCAAATACATTAATTTTTATGCTTACCAAAAAAAAAATATAATTGTTTAAATTTATAATTTAGATGATTCATTCCGCTTTATAAAATATTTTATTTTTCATGGAAACCAAGATATTTTAATGATATGTTTTTTAATGTATGTTTTAATTCATATTATTTTAATATAATAAATTGTAATAGCATATAAAATGTCAATTAATATTTTTTTTGCTATTTAATTTAATACAAATATAAATTCTGAGATTTCATAAAATATATAAAATATAGTTACCAGGAAATTATTTTAACAAATGTCTAGGTTATTGATCTAGATATTTTTGAGCATAATTCTCTAGATAGAAATGAAATAGAATTGCACGATCCTATGACCATTTAAATCTACATCATAAAAATAAATGTGTATTTTAATTGTATAGTATATGTGTAATATATGTATAATACATGTGTAGTATATGACAATATATAGTACATATGATAATAATCTCTAATTAGCAAGTCTCATATTTGTTTCAAAATATGAATTTTGATACAAAATTCAATCGGGTTCTGACATTTGCCCTTAATATATAATATAACGTACTCTTGTACCTATTATTTTACTTTATTCTTAAAAATATATTGTAAATAAATCATGGTTATTTAAAAAAAAATAATTAATTATAGATACAAAAGCTGCAAATATAATAAATTAATAAAACACATGTTGTATATTTTTAGCAATGACAAATATCAAAGAGTTGGAACAGTATCCTAAGTTGCCACCTCGATTAGTTGAAAAAAGAGGAGAAAAAACCACGTTATTGTCGACTGATACACAGTCCAAAGAATTTCCTAACCATGAAAAAAATGTAGACGTAATATACTCCTATGTAAATAATGACCGTAAGATGAAAGTTTTGACAAGTGACTCAGATTTAATACTTGAATCCGGAACTGAACAATCGGTTGAAGTAGAAGACGAGCCACCTCCATTGCCTATAAAAAAAAAATATAAACCAGAAACATTTGAAGAGAAAAAACAATATAAAATAGTTGAAGGTGCTTACGTTTTTGAAAATGTAAGTATTCTATTGATTATCTGTTTTCAATAGTTTCGTTATAATTTTTAAAACGAAGGAATTTAATTAATAACACATTTAGATATTTGATTTATGCTATTATACTACACAATTATTAGGAATATTATGAATTCTAATGTATAAAAGTTATATTTTTTCCAAATATATGAAAATTAATTTTTGTCAACTTCAATTATGTACTCATTAGATATTTTTTGGATATATTTTATTTAGAAAATATTTACAAAGCATACATATTTACGGTATATTTATATATATAGTAAGCATATATATTTATTAGTATCAATAATTTTCATTGATTTAGTAATTTCGGTTTATGCACACAAGTTTGAACTATTTCTAATGTGAATGTCACTGGTGTTTGTTATTTATATCAATATATTATATAGTGTTCACTCAAGTCATCGACATTTTTAATTACTACACAAATATACATCGATGGAACAAAACAATGTATAGTATTAGCTATATCGGAGTTTATTGAGGTATGAGTCATCGTCACACTCAATTATTTATGTGCATTACGCAAAGGGATAAAAAGAATAGTATTAGAATATGATACGCGTATCCTGTTTCTCGTATAACAACAACACAATGTGCGCTTTTATATACATGCTAATATTAAAACAATGATTGTGCATTTGAATGAACGTAAGGAATTCAGATTTGCTTTTAAATAAACAAAATTTGTATTCATAGGGCAACAAAGAAGTTATTTACGACGTTCCTATTCCTCATGGAAAACTCATTGAACAATTTCGTCGGTTGTCCGTAGCCCGTTTATCACCAGTTAAGCGTTATGCGGATAACACTATCTATGATGATTCATTGGAGTCATCGCTTTACGAGTAAGTTTTGCCGAACAAGTTAAAATACGTCTAATATATATATATATATATATATATATATATATATTAATATTTTTTATTTTACTTTCAACTAGAACATTGCAAATGACACCTGATTCGCTGGAAATCGCAACAATGTTTCCTACGTATAAAAGATGGTCAAACGATTCTGGTTTCAATTTCGATGAACCCAATTCCTTTTCACCTGATCAAACTCATTTTGAGGATTCATTGGAGCCGGTCATAGCCATGATAAATCATGATCGCAAAATATGGAAAAACGTGCCAAACATCAACTCAACCGACTACTTCCGTTGACTATATATTTTATAAATGTAGGTATTAAAAACTGTATATACGTGTTTTGTTTTATTTTTTTATTAAACTTTCTATTAAAATAGAATTAGTTATAATTTGTGTAATATATACTGTAATATTATATATGATTTCAAAAACATTTTCCAATTAGTATAGAGTTATAATAATATTTATCAGGAGCAAAAAAAAAATAAAGATTCAAATGTGTTCCTATAAGAAAGGATTTATTATTAAAAGTTATTAAATTTATTGCATTTTTAGGAAAAAAATAAGATGCTACATATTAATTATTTTTAACCATTTATATTTATATTATAAAAGTGTTTCATTTTACGTGGATGAATGGATTATAGATTTTTTTCTATAAAAAATGTTCTAAAACACTGATATATTACAAATAAATAAATAAATAGTGTAAATGATCAATGTTTATTATTTAAAAACAAAACATTATATAATTTATAATAATATTATATTATAATACTGAAAAATTAAGATAGGTACATAGTATTAAAATTGATTGTATCACAAGCGACCGATTTCGTGGATATGTATGTTAACAATAATATATTGTGAATTATTAACAAAACTTTTTCGTTTTTAAATGTTATAGTCTCACATCATACGTGTACTTATTACTTGTGCATCTAGGTGTACCATAAAATTTGTAGCGATTTGCGGGTATTAAACTAAAAACATATTGTAATATTAGATAAAGTAGCGCACATTAATTGAACCGCAGACTAACCACCCACACATGGTGATGTTATACCTTATTACCAAGGTATTTCTTTAGCAGATATCATATTATATTCGCATTTTAATTGATGTTTTATAAAATGTGTTAATTCTATTTGATTTAACTGGCTTTAATTTGAGACGTAATTCTAACACTTAACATTTTCGTAACTTGGATAAAAACTAAAACGCTATTGTTGTCATATTTAAAAACAGTTATAAAAAATAAATGAAAGGTAGAAAAATATTGAAGAAACGCAAATGAACGTTCTGAACCTCTATTATTTATAATTCATTTTTATTATTAGTCATTTATAGTTTTTTATAACAACGAACGTTTATAAAAAAATTAATAAAATTATATAATATAATATACATTAATTTATTCTGTATTATTATACATTGAGTTTATAGTATGATTAATTACATTACTATATAGCAGGGGTGGTGAACCTATGGCACGTAGACTAAATTTTAATGGCACATGCAAAAAATTGAAATTATTAAAAATTCTACAAAAAAAAAAAAAAATAAATTATAGTATTTATAAAATGTTGGTTATAAGAAACTCAAAGAAACAAATCATATATGATTTAAAAATGATAATATTCCTTATGCTCTTATATTTTTCATCAACTTTAATTAAATCGAAGGAAAGAAATATTTTAACCGATGAAACAATTGCTGTTTGTGTTTCACTAAGAATTACTAAAATGTAATAAAAATAATATAATAAATCTGTAATTTTATTTTTATTCTTAAAAATTATTAGAATTATTAAAAAATATTCTTAGAAATAGGCTTTTGAACCAAAAAAGGATCACCACCTCTAGGTACATATTAAATAATTTAAGCAGCAATATACTTGTGAATTGAATAACAAATAAATACTGTAACATATAAGTATATAAATAAAATAACGAAGGTTATTTTTAATATTGTTATTGGGGAAGTACTCCCGCAGAGACAGAGCTATGTGTGTGAGTACAGGCAAGCAGTTATAGTCACAAATAGAAATTAAAATTTGGTTTTATCTTAATTAAATTTGAATTGTTATCATACGTAAAATAATTCTGTTGTATTAGTTATGAGGTCATTGAACATAGAGTGAGATGATTACAGACATAGATTTTGTTTTCAATATTTTATAAATATTCATTTTTAAAGGGATTTTGCTGCCTTTAAGTTATTGGTTTCTAAAAAACTTTTAGAAAGCCACCTAACGATTGTATATTATATAATTCCTCTACAAATATACATGTGAACTGGGATCATCCGCATCATGATCCTTTCTTTGCACTTACAAAACAAATAACAGTTTAACCAACGACTAATATTATACTTAAAGATTAAAACGCTCGAAAAGTATGCAGCAACAATGATCACCAGAGTTCAATATGGTCGAATTCGGTTCCGGTTATGTTTTGCTCTCGAATTTCACTCCAAAAGGCGCTGACAAGTCGAAATGCCTTTTCCAAATCTGTTATTTCGACTAGGTACATCCGTATCCACGATACCGTGTAGCGTGGTAACGTATTTGTTTCGAACGTTTTTCGGACAGGACGAGTTGACAAAATCAATTTTTTCTTACGTTATAAATTGTATCGATACCTCCGTTGCAACCAATTCGGCTCGTTCTTGGACGATTGAGTTTAGGCATAATTCGTGTACTAATAATAGCATAATCGTAAACCAAAAATGATATTTATAATTATTTCGTGCTTATTTTATTATTTACATTGGTTATAAATAGAAATTCCATTATTAAATTACAATTTATAAACAGATAAAATAAATTAAACATTAATCTGGCACTTATTCTATTATTTACAATGGTTATAAATGGATATTAATTATTATTAATTAGATTTTATTTATTTAGTCATAATTCCAAAAATAATGTGGCTAGAAATTTGAAACTCTTACCCTATAGCAAAGGTATTTTTTTTGGAAGTAATACAATTTTCAAAAAGTACATTTGATTTAAATATAGAACTTTAAAAATACCTAATTTTTTAAAAGCCTTTATTTAATAACATTTTTATTTTTGTATATTAAGAGAGAATGTAATATCACTTAACTCATATACTTACACTTAACTTATAAATAAGTACTTACTTATTTACCGATACTGAAAAAATTTTAAAACAATCGTTAGTCTGAAATTTATTTCATAAGCGTAAATTTTTATACTTACGATTTTTACATCAATTTTTAACATTAAACGTTTATTCAAAAAATTTGGTCCATCTAATCATAATGAAACTTTGAATAATAAATATTTGGTTAAAAAATAAATAATTTTCTTTGTCAGACAGTAAAATGTTAAACAGTTTGATAAGAAAAAAACCTACCGAAAATTAGACTAAAAATGGTAAAATATACTTATAAATCGTTGATTTTTTTACTAAAACTTTTTGATAAAGAAATAACTTATCATTTCCTTAAAAATCAGTATATCTACTACTATGTTTGCCACTCGTCCCGGTGTTCCGGCTGATCATTCAGATTATCCCAGTTAATAGAAGCTGATAGAAAATAACATTTAATATTATATTATTTAATAATAAAACATAGAATAATAGAGTGCATTATATAATTATATAATATGGTAATCTAATCCGTATGGTTGTATACAATAATAATGTATTTTTGTATTAGTCAATAAAAATTTAAATTACAAAATTATATACTTACTTTGTTTTCATATCAAAATAAAAAAAAGAGTCATTCGATAGGTTCTATAGGTTTAGTTTTAAGGATTTCAAAATCTGGTATCCTTACCTATTAATATTATCCAGTTTGAAGACCAAAAACACGAAGGTCGAACTTCCACCACCATTATTCAAATAATAAATTTATATATTTATATAATAAAAACTCATATAGTGATCACACTGTATATAGGATTTTCTATAATCGTGCCTTGAAATCATTTAAAAAATATAATTAGGTATCAAGGTGCCATAAACAGATTATCTGTTAGATATTCTGTTATCTCAGAAAAATTTTTTTTCATGGCCGTGGCCTACTGTGCTGATAATTTTGTGGTTGTTATCGTATTTTTCTATCAATGTATTCAATCAATGAATTTATTTAAAGTAAATAATACTTAAATTAGTACTTTTATTTATTGGTATTTATCTTAGTATTACCTAAGTAACAAACTTATATAATATAATTTTAAAATGTTGTGTATGATAAATCTAAAATCAGAGAAAGTGTTATAACTCAAAATTCAAAATTGAAATTAGAAAAACGTTCACAATAAATATTACAATAATAAAAAAAAAAAATTAGCTGTTTTCTTTATTTCAATGAAATATACAAAAGTATTGTATATTTTTTTTAGTGTTCAAACCTTATTTACTAAAGATAAAAACCATGTGAAAATATTTCCGTGTATGTGGAATTTTTTCCCGTATACAGAAAGTTTTATTTCAAGAATACAATTTGACGTCCGTACACGGAAACTAATCGTATGGATTGTTCGTATACGGATCCGATTCGAATGATTTCAAGAATAGACTCCCTGGTAATGACTATTTTGTTTATCCATTTGTCGTTTCAGAAAAATAAAAGTCAAATCTTTTTATGTTTTTATTATTTTGTGTTGTAAATTGTAATAATGTAATGCATATAATTAGTAAATTTGTAATATTAATATTATTTTGTATGTTTATTAATATATTACAGTTCACAATGAATATATCATCTATCTTATCAATTAAGTATTAAATATAATTAATGTTTATAAAAAAAATTGTAGCAACAACTACTGTTGTTGCTACAATTTTTTTATTAACTTTATTAACCAGTATTAACTTTTATTCAATAAAATTGATATTTCAGCAATACTTGAATGTTTCGTGGAGGTTTTTATAATTTACTTGATTCTTCCTTTGAAATGTCGATACGTATTACGTTTTCAATTGGTGATTCATTTGTATTTGAGGAGATATTTTTTTTCCTACAAATGTTAAAAAAGCATAAATATAGTTGATTCTTATATTTTTAATATATTCAATATTTTCAATTGAAACTTATCATAAATTTAAATTTTACTAATTTTATTTTTATGAGTGATATATTTATTAAATTATCTAAAAAATAAGTTAAGGAAAGTTAATTTTTAATTAACATTATTAGTTGAATTTGTTTGAACACATATAATCATCTATATTTTTCCAAGTGAACCTATAATATTAGTGATATAGTAATTTCATTCCATAAAATTAGACTTTAACAAACTAATAAATCATCAATAAAAATTAAAAATATGTTTCCAATCAGTCTAAACAAAATTAATCTTGATCGTTTCAAATAGTTTATCTTTTCTTGTACTCAACCTTTTGATTGGTCTTGTAGTTTGGCATCCGCTTTTCACTCATGTACCACTTCCTGTTTTCATCCAACCTTTTGGGTTCTATCGTCTTGTTCTAATAGTTTTGAGTATCTATTTGCTTTCATCTATTTCACTGAATATGCTTTCATTTGTGTGTTCTTACAAACTCATTCGCAGCATTCTTTAATAACACCGCATTTCAAAGCTTTCGAGGACTCTTTGATTAGTTTTATTTAGTATCCATGTTTAAATTATGTAAATATTTACAAACGGACTGCGGTTTGGACCTCACTGGCTATATGAACTAAAATTGAGCGCCACTGTATAAGTTTGTGCTCGTTTATTAACCACACTGGAGAGTCGGGAATATCAGTGAATATAGTCACACATATGCAGGTCGAAAATAGAATGTCACGAGTCTATACTGCACTGGTTATGGGAGCGATGATTATCAGCGTGTTGACTTGTTCTTTTATGTAACTTATGAGACCATAGTCAGCATCGTACAACTCATAGGTTGTATATTTAACATGGTTCGATGGTTTTTTATGCATTTTTAATGATGATGCTATGGATGATCTCAAAATGCTATCGGTGTTATTTCATATTAGCATATTAAATAGTTTTAATTATGACTATTATATATTCCGCAATCGGGTAAAGACGAACACCATCTACCATGAGCATAAATGTAATCTTTAAGGATTTCGACGCTATTGACGGGACTGTCTAGACGTATACGAGGCATTAGTTGCCTATATAGTCGTTTTAGGCGTCGTGCACCTTTACAGATGATGATCTCAATAAAATTTAAGATAACTATCGCTTCCGCGGTGAACATTTAGGCCATAGTTTATGTAATATTTATTTTATTGGAAATATTATGGACAATCTGACTCCTTTTTTGTGTTTTTAATCCATCTGTATATATATCATGGTGGTCTTCGTAATTTTCGAGGATGCTTTTTAAATAGTTTTTGAATAAACTATGTAGAGTTTTTTGTTTGGATAGTGCATTAAGTTCTATTATAATTTTATATTTTGTTGTCAATGGTGTTTTCATATTTAGTTATTTGGATATAATATGGGGCAAATTAATTTTGTATTCTTTCATCAATTTTTTTTTTTTTTTTTTTTGTTATATATCCGTAGATTTTTTTGTTGCAGCTCTCCATGCTTCTCCTTCAGGTCCTTGTAATTTCCCTTATTCGTATTCTACATTATCTGTGTCATGAATTCTGTTCTTGGTCTTCCTCTTGCAATGTGTCCTTCAATATCTCCTTCAATTATTTTCTTTAATAAATTTTCATGCCTTAATATATGTCATACATCTTGCCTCTTCATGATTGAATACTTCCATATTTGTCGTTGTTCCTTTATTTTATCTAATACTTCCTTATTCGTTACCTTCTCAGTCCGTGGTATTTTATTTTAATTTTTATATTTTTCTAACTTCTATGAACTTGTTATCGAATGCGGTATTTTAAAAAATATTTTTCGGGTCTTGAAATCAAAATTAACTTAATTAGGATAAATTAAATAATTATTTCGTTAATTTCAAGTTAATTTGGAAGGAAATGAGTTAAGTTAATAAGTTAATTTTACTTTTAACATAACTTTTAACTTATTGACTCGTTAATGTCCAAGCTTGGTCAAATATGACTTTTACTAATGTTATTTAATGAGTGATTAAATTATCTAAAAAAACCAGTTAAGTTATAAATAAAGTAGTTTTAAAATTTATATTTAAATTAAAATTATTAGTTGAGTTTGTTTGAACTTTTACAGGTATATCATCACTATATTCTTATTTATAGATCAATCATGTATATTTTTCCAAGTGAACTTATTATTTTACTACTTTTTAACTTTTTATTATTTAACTACTATTCAATGAAATTATACTTCAGCATACTAATAAATAATCAATTAAAATTAAAAATATGTTTCCAATCAATCTATACAAAATTAATCTTGATCGTTTCAAATAGTTAATCTTTTCTTGTACTCAACCATTTGATTGGTTATGTAGTTTGGCATCTACTCTCCACTCATTCCAGTTTTCATCTAACCTTTTGGGCTCAATCGCCTTACTCTAATAGTTTTGACAATCTATTTGCTATCATCTATTTTACTGAGTATGATTTCGTTGGTATCGTGTTCTTATAAACTCTTTCGCAGCATCCTTTAATAACATCACATTTCAAAGCTTTCCAGGACTCTTTAGTTAGCCTTATTTAATATCCAGGTTTCGCTGCTATATAACTCCACACTCCAAAATATACTTTTATGAAGCATTTCCTCATCCTAGTACTCATGCTGTTGGAGCATTAAACGTTTTTCTTATTAAAAACCGTAGGCTTCTCCTGTTCGTCAAGGTTGAGTTTCCTAGTTATTTAAAATGTTACACATGTTCAAGCAGCCTATTCTCTTCTAGGATATTACATCTATAGATTTGGTCTAATTTATGGTACATCATAACTTTAATACAACTTTAATTTTTCTTCGGTTGATAATCAAATGCTATTTTTGGAGAGTTTCCCGTAAGAAAAAATAACATTAATACACAAATAGCTGAATTGGGTCCCTGATATTTATTTTCTGTATAATATTAATAAATAATACACATGAGAACTTTTGTTAAGAGATACAGCAGCAGTAAAATAGCACTTTCATTCTTATCTCTACTGGTCAGACTAATTTATCCTAATTTATAACTTATCAGAATACTCAAATCATAAATAACAATTTATCAAAGTTATTGATTATAATTAGGAAACTGATTTTAATTTAAATAAATATTTTTATGTAGTTCTAATATTGGAGAGTAATTGACATATGTGTATGTTTCATTTCATTTTGAATGAATTGATGCTAATTTTATTTTAAACATTTTAGTAATAAATATGTATACGTAATCTATATGATTGAAGAATTTCCGTTTTTATTTGAGTATTTATGATGAACGAAAATATATGATTATGTCTGTACAATATCTTATCTAGGAAGTAGGTACAAATTTCAAAAAACTTGCAAAACAATTTAGTGCTTATTTCCCCTAATTTTGGATTAATTAATTTTAATTTATAGAATTAAATAATAGTTGATACTATTTCAAAATTAGAAACTTCTAAAATGGCATTAACCGAGAGCCTAGAAATAGTAGATAATGCCATTAAACAATTAGAACGAGTTCTGGAGAAATTGGAGTTTTAACAAACTCTAAATTACAAAACATATTGGGAAAAACCCCAAAATTTAAGATTGTATAAACGATAAAGAAATACTATTAAACATAACTCCAAAAAACATTTAAAAATAGAGTGCAAATTCATGCTAATTACGTGCTAATTATTGATAGTAAAAAAAATCAAATTTTCCTAATGGGCGGTGTTGGCGTAACGCACGTGATATTGGTTATATTTGCGCCATATTTAGCCAATAATAAAAATTTGGTTAAAATTAAAAGCCATCATATATTAATGGGCCCCTCTGAATACTTTGGGTGTGCCGTCTTAAGGCTGGACTCATATTAAGATGGGCCAGGTACACCCTGGCCCTCCCTCAAGGCTGATTTACATGTTACCAGTTGGCGTACCAGTCAAAGTCGCCAGTAATTGAATGCCAGCGACTGGCAACGTCTAAACATAATTTTCCAGCAACTGGAGAAAGCCAGTGGGCACTAGCGTGCCAGCAGATGGCATTGCCAGCAAAACAAATATTTTTATTTTACTGGCGTGAAAGTTTCCCCCTCCACTAAATCGCCACAACGAAAGCAGTTAACTGTCATCGAGTAAACAACAATAGTCATGTGCCGACTATTGGATTATAACAGTGATATAATATTTTATTTATCAATGATAATAGTACATCGTACATGTGCGTGAAACTACTGAAACTGTGAAAAGTGAACTTCATAACCAAGGCCGGATTGGACAAATTCGGCCCACCGAGTTTTCTGTATGTTACCGGCCTACTTACTAACTAGCGGCCCTTGTCCAAATTTCTATAATCGCATATTTCAATAGGTGCACTAATTTTCAACTTAAAACTATTAATATTTTCTGTTAGCGGCCTTCACAACTTAAAAGGCCAAAAATTGTCGCGGCCCACCGAGTTTTACCCAGTAACTCGCCGGGTCAATCCGGCCCTGTTCATAAATATATTAAAATATTATAAGACAATGTTTATAATTT